CCCCTTTTGAATCAACTCAACTGGTGCATCGACATTGATAAGCCCCTTTCCCCTGAACACGCCCGTCAGATGTCCTTTACCCGCAAAGATCTCTCGAAAGCTCCAGTGCTCCAAAGCAGGATGCCTATCGCATCTTGCTGCTGCATCCAGCCGCTGGGACTCATGCGTCACTGCGATCTTGTCACCTAAGCGTCTGTTTTTGGCACGCTTATGGATTTCACGGTTTGACTTACGATTCTGCAGTTCAGCTCTTTCTGTAGCAGGCATGAATCCTAACTGGGCTGCGAGAACTGGATTATTGATCTCGGGATCTGGGATTGAGACCCCTCGTGACGGGTGGTCGGCAGGATTACTTTTTGTTCCTACCCAAACAAGGTGTAAAGACTTTTGACCTACGATGGACCATCCAATCATTGATCTTAGTATGCGATTCAGTTGTTTTGAGGAAGACCGGCCTTTACTTACTGCACCTACCACCACTCGGGAATCCACCAACAAAACCGCACGATATGGGTCATTGGAACTTTCAACTAACTCTTTGAGCTCTGACTTAACCATCTTAAGCTCTAGAATGTTGATATGTTGCTTATGGTTGAACTTACACTTTTCAGTGGTCGACCAGCAATGCGCTCCCATCAAGGCTTCAAGTTCGGCTGGTGCTTCTGACATTTTTGAAGGAGGTGCCAAGGCACCGGTTTCCCAGTCCAAACGCACATGCTCACCTGAATGCTCACTGTACCTATATAGTGTCTTGGCGATAGCTTCTGATGTGAAGCATGCCGCCCTGCCACCCCCCGAAAGCGAGGCGTCTGACGCGCCAATGCGCGAACTGATTGGCCATCGGATGTTGGCATGCATTAAGGGAAGGCACAGCGCCATCCAGAGAAGTTCTTCGCGGACATTGTCAGGGAGTCTATATTCTTTCTTGGGTTTCATCTTGGTTATGAATTGATACACCTCTTGCAACAATGACATGAAAATGCGGCGGTGCATGGCGGGATGCACTAATAGCCCTACAGCCTTTTGAAGCAATTTCTGAGTGACGAATCTGAGCTGACAAATTTCAACAATCAGTTCCCCTACTCCTTTCAGCTTCTCACTGCTGACCCCGACACGGCCGCTCTGGCTACTCACGCTGGTGCCCCATGCGCAAAAGTCTGAACACTTGGTAAATTGCTTTTTCTTTGAAATAGGAAGTCCTAGTTCTTGATACTTTTTCCTGCTACGATCTATCAGTTCTTCATCCTTGAACTTGGACCTACTTTTTCGAGTTCTGCGATTGGGCAAAATCTGCATCACCAAATGATCATCGATATACAGCCCCTCCAGTGTGTGCTTTGCTGGAACTATCTTCTTATAGGCTAAAGTCTCGTTTTCTTGCATGGCCCCACAATCTTTCAAGATCTGCAAGTGGGTTTCCTGAGCAAGATCAACTGCATTGCAATCCCCCATTGGAATGACCCTGAAAGATAGCATGTACTTTTTACCTGGAATACCTCCCCACTCTTGAAAATTTTTGCCATCAAAAGGTGTACCTACGCAATTTCGACCCAACCATTCATCATTATGCCTAAGCAAATAGAAGAAATTGGATAAATCGTCACCAGAACCTCGGATGGAATAATCTTTGGGGAGTATAATCTGTGTCAACAGGCTACCATGAGGTAATTTGGCCATCACAAGTCTACGTTCTAATTCATTTTGGGGTCTTCGGTCTAGAATGACCCTGTCCGACTCTGCCTTGTGTGGAACTGCGAACAGTCCCCCTGAGACGATGTTACCAGCTGAGTCACGGAGGGCTAAATCAACTGGCAGTAGACAGGCCACGCCGGATGCAAGCAGTTTTTGATAGACCGCGTCGCGATCACATGGCATGACTTTGAAAACTGCTTTGGTGGGGCGAATTGGTTCATCACCATGAGGCGCCCATTCATGCATGGTCTCAAATGCTCTGAGGTTATCACCCTTTAGGAAGTCCTTAGGATCAAGAATACCTGCCTCGGCTGGGAGGGACATCCTATCGGGTTTAACATTAGTGGCATTATTCATGAGTTCTTCCATGGTTTGTGCAAGCTGTTCATAATTTGAATTATTAGGACGGATTTTATGAATTATCTCTTCTAATTTCTGAGTTCCACGGCTTAAGGGTTCCTGGCACCTAAGCTTTACGAAACTATGAATTTGTTCATGCAGCAAGCCGGCATATGCTTCATGTTGCTCAGACCAACCAGCAGTGAAAGCTCTCTGAGCTAAGGCTGTTTGTTCTTTCTCGGTAGTGGGACTGCCTCCTTCTAGAAAAGTGAATAAACACCAAACCATTTCAGTCCATTTCCAAGACAACTTCCGGCCTCGCCCCGACTTAGCATTCTTACTGCTGGTATCTGCCACAACTGAAGCTGGCAAAACAAAGCGGGACGGAAAGAGCTTGAATCTCCCCGGTGAAGAGGAGGTCACTTGCCCCAAGCCCGACGTGGGCTTTCCATGCATTTTTCTAAAAAACCGACCAAAGGCACCGTGGCTCTTACCTAGTACCTCAACTGTCGAATTGGCCCCTATCTTCGTAGGAACCGCATCCATGTTGCCATCACGGCGACTCACGTGGTCTCGTTCTCCTTGGGCTCGTCGCTCTTCTTGCCTTTGCCCTTGCCCTTTTTCTTTGTGTCTTTCTTGCCCCCTCCTTCGGGTTGATCTGCGCTGCCACTCGGACCTCCCCAGCTGCTGGCACTGCGAAGCTTCTCCGTATTCTTCTCCAACTCCGCCATGCTGCGGAGGTAAGAGGTTACCTGTGAGAGCTCTTCCATGCTGCCCCCAAACTTCGCCTTGCTGATCGGATCGCTCAGATGCGTGAGCATCCAGCTCACTGACCAGTCCCCATTGTCGAGCGCTGTTTGGTGAACGCTCTTCAAGCATAGAACTACTTGAAGCGCAGCTCTCTCCCACTTCTCGCGAAGCATCAACTCCAACACCTCTGCGAACATGTGATAGCATCGCTGGAGGGTCTTCTGTTTGCCCCAGGGAATCCTCTTGCTCCCCTCGTGGATGCGGAAGGGACGTCCTTCCGCACCCAACTCTCTTTCCAGATCCTTCACGAAGCGGCGAACGTACCTCAGTGGGTTCTTCTTCATCTTGCGCTTGGCTGCCTCGAAGTTCTCCACTGCTCTTGCGCCTCCAGGTTTCTTGTATTTTTCTTTCCCGGAACTGCTGGCACTGCCGCTGGACTCGTTGTCGTCGCTCCAACTGTCTTGATGGCTGCGACGATGACGTTGGCCTCGTTGAAGATCTTTGTAGACCTGCAGCGTGACCCAAGCTCTGAGTGGATCCTGCTCGGTCGCTACAGTTTTCAGCATCAGATCTCTGCCTTGGTGATGAGAGACAGTCTCTTTGTCCTTCAGCTGAAGAAGCGAATGGCGGCCGCTTCTCTTCTCTGCTCCGCTGCGTCTTGCGCCAGGCGTACCCTTTTCTTGCCATTTCTTTTTCAGCTGTGCCAGAGCATCTCCAAGGTCTGAGTTTTCTGAAGAGCTTTTCTCGCTGTCCTCCTCCTCGGAACTCGATTCCTTTTTGAAGGACGGTCTCGATCTCCTGGTGCTTCTCTTCTTCTTTTGACTCTCCTCCTTGGTGCTTTCTCCGGCTGACAGAAAAACCATCTCGTTCTCGCTGGCTAGACATTCCTGCCCCTTTGACTGGAGCTCCTGGAGGTCTGTATCCAGTCTGAGGCATTCTTTCCCTTCGCAGAAGGCCATGAACTTGTTGGGCGGGCACCCCAGCAGGTAGAAAACTTTCCCACTGATCTCTGTCTGTGTCATTCCCTCTGGAATATCTGATCTTCCTCTTGCACGAATCAGGAGCTGCAGCCATCCGTTGGAAAAACCCAACAAGAGGGCCTCACGCCAGGCTGGTCGTTCACTATCGACCAGCTTCACGAATCCCGTCCGATGATCTCCACCACGTTCCATCCGTGCACTGAGATTTGATCAGTGTCTAGATGGAAACGGTCAGACTCAGCCTCGAAAAGGGTCACAGCGTGTCCTATGTCGTCTGCACGACGCCACCTGATTCCTTCAAATCGTCCGTTGTTGAGTTCCAACAAACCACGATATGCCACTAGCCCAATCGACCAGTGGATTCCAGAAAATCGCTCACCCCAACCGGGCACTGACCAAACAGTATAAACCCGCAGCTCAGGATGATTCAAATCGAAACGGTTGGGTACCAATTGACGACACCCCAGTTGTTGATCACCTGAGTGAATCACAAAAACACTTGGGCCCCCAATCAACGGCCGTGCCAGTGCGGAAACAGTTTCTGGCGGAGGCTGTTGAGCTGGCACAGGTTGCTCAGGCAGCAGGTGACCTAAATCTTCTGAGCTGCTGGCAGATGGTGACCTGGAGGCCTCACTGGACTCTGTTGGAGCACCTTCCGGTTCGGGCTCTTCCAGGCCACCACTGTCCCTATGGCGGCAACGACAACCTATCAATGACCTGATCCACTTGAACATGAATGCTGGAGTCGGTAGGTTGGTCATGAGATCATATTACATATATATATATAGTATTGTATATATAATTATATACACACAATGTTTTTTTGATATATTTTAGATCATGTACAAAATCAACTATCAATGAAACACACAAACTCAAGCAAGAAACTGCGATTAAGCGGGGCCAACAAACGACTACCTGATGCCACGTAAGGTCATCCCATAGTCATCCGATGGTCAGCATCTGGAGTGAAGGTGTTCCATGTTTTCAAGTATATAACTTGAAAGAAATCTGAGATGAAGATATGACCGGTGTATCACCTGTTGAGATTCTGAGCCATATCCATATCTCATTTAAGTTGCTCAAGAATGACCGGTGTCCCCTGTGTCCCCAAATCCCTCGCTGGCATCCTTCCAGGGTCTTGCACTCAATGACCAACAGGGGCCCCGGGGGCAAGCAGTCCCCCATTTGTGGAGCTGGAGATCTCAAAAATGTCATGAGACTTGCAAACCAAAGCACCAGCCAGGGGCAGAGGTGCTATTGCACTCACTATTTACCATGCCATCCGAATCGTGATCACGGCAGCCAAAACCATATGAAGCTTCGGTCACATTGATACCTGGACGCAACACGTGTGAATTCAGCCTTGACAGAGACCATCCAATCAGTTTCGGAGCTGGAAAAAAAACGCAAATCCCGACATGTTTTTTGTGGTACAAAACTCGTGGGACATGTCTCTCTCTCTCTCTCTTTGCCCCTTCATGTCCCAAGCAAAGGCTTTAGAAGATTTCAGAAGTGTAAGACTGCCTTAGCTTTTTTCGGGGGTGGGAAAAAAGGGGAAACATGGGGAAACCCTCTTGGCTGCCCAAGAGCTACGCTCAGCAACAGTTGGGATTGTCCGATTCCCATGGCTGAAGGAAATAGTTCCAGAATGGTCCGAGTTTAAGCAATCATGGCTACTGGTTCCAGTTGATGGATCCCTGAAATCTCACATTGACATGGAAGCGATTTTATCTGGCTTTGGTAAATACTGTAAGTCGTATTTGTGCAGTGTTCAACCGTCTTTGTCATTCCATCATACTAGCTGCTTAATAGAGATTCCGATAACGGATGATGAGAATGCCCAATAGAACACCGAACTAACCCCGAACTAATTATCGACCAACCGGGGTTACTTGCGACGGTCATGAATCACTGAATGCCCCCGTAGGTGCATGGACATTGCGCAGATCCCTCCAGCGGCATGCAGCAACATCTGAAGCAAAGCAATGAAAGGCAGGTCAGGCGCAGTCTCAACATTCCATCGCAGGAGGGTCAGCAGCGACAGTAAAGCAGCAAAGGTAGCAAGGCTGACAAAAAACTGGGATTCACAACATGTTGGACTCCAAAATCGTTCAATTTCTTGGTGATGCTCATTCAACATGGGGAAACCGGAAACCCATGGTTTGAGGGCCGGGGCATCCCAATTTTGGGAAACAGCCATATCGACAATCTGTAAAAAGTGTTAAAGAGTGCTGGTAGGTATGCTATGGTATGCCCTAGGGTGGCCATGTCAAAAATGTCAATCTATGTCACCTATGTCAATAGCTATGATAACTGCCACCAAACCCATAACCGCCATAACCCAGTCACACATGGAATCAGTTGATCAACACTTGGAACCGTTCGTTGAATGGCCTGGCTTTGGTGCTTGAGCCAAATCTGAAAGGTGAACCACTTGAAGTTCACAAAACCCAAAACAAAGCCCTGCAAGTCCTTGATCATCCTTTCCCCTAGGGTCATCCTGCTAGCCCTCTTTTTAGAGGATGCCACACAACACAACCATCATTTTTTTATCAGCGTTTTTGGTACAACCAGTGCAACCAGTCATCTTCCAAATCAACAACAAAAACATAGAAAACCAGTTGTTGTGATATGTGTTTCTATGTTTTTCTATGGTAAAACTATGGTAAAACGATGAAAAACCCATGGAAAAACCACCATTTTACCCGCCGGTCCCATCCCCTCAAGGTGAACGTGAAGAAAAATCACCTCTGGAAGCAGAAGAATGTCACCGTCTCCCGCCTTGAAGCAGACACCACGTGGGGATGAATCAACATCTGAAATGAATCAACCATCATTAACCATCATTAACCATCATTAACCATCATGAACAATCATTAATCATCATTAACCATCAACATCATTGGCAACTCGTTTTGGATCTCCGTGTTTTGAAAGAACAAACAATTGGCGATGATTTCCTCAATAAATTGAACCAATTTGTCTGCTGAGTTCACGGGTAAATGAACTGTGAAAAATGGGACATCAAAGGATACTCCAAGGGGGCGCAGGTTATCTGGTAGATGAGATCGCAACTCGTTCTGCAATGTTTGATAAGACCTACTGTGAGATACCCTCCTGTATATAAACGTTTACATAGATTTGGAAAACCTACCATTTGTAGATGTGTAAATCATTTTCCCTGGGAACACCATTGGCTTTCCACATCTATGTAAAGGTTTACCCACGGGGGTTACACATGGCCATGAAAACTATGTTGGAGCCAACGCTCCAATACCACCGATAGCTCATAGGTTTCCTTCTGTTTCCTTGAATTGTGATGGGATAGGCCTGCATTCCTTCATCTAGTGACTAAAGTATTACTATCATAGAATAGGTTACTCTCGGTCTAATAGATTCCTCTATTTCAAGTTTTGGAATATCTTCCAGCAACCAAGTCTGTTGAATAAGTTGTGTTGGAGCCCGAACGTCTGAGAAGCACATGCATTGAGAGAAGCGACTGGTATAACTCGAATTCAGTTTCAAATGGAGTCTTTAAATATACCCCAAAATATTCTCTATATATACCGGAATGGAAAATGTGGAGGACCAGGGTTACTCTTCTTCTCAAAGTCCAATGTCAGATATGTCAGTTCAGAGTGAGGCAACGCCTGACACAACAAGCTTTCAACCGAAGCTTGTGGCATGTTTTTTTGGGGACTTTGCAATTGGATCTGTTGTCCATTTACTAGGGTTAGTAAGGGGTTCTTGCCATCCCTCGCTTCTTGGCTAATGTCGCATCAATGAAAACTACTGTAACCACTTTTTCTTGGATGTGCTAGAAATAACAAACTAGGATAAACACCTACACATAATTGGGAATATAATTGATTTTAACTATATAATATATAGTGATATATAATATAATGTATAGCTGGGTTGTCATGACTCATTATGTTTTTTGACATGCACAATTTCCTGGAGCTTGGGTCAAATGCCAGAACCACCACTGGGAAATCAACGGGCCCAAAGCATGTTACCTTGGCTCAACATTCAAGACCTCAGGGGCCCAGAAAAATGTTGGCTCTTTCCGGGTCTTCAACCATCTCCGAAATACCCAACTGTTGAGCCAGACAACCGGTGGAATGTATATGGGTCAAAATGATCACTCCAAGAACATAAAAATCTGCTTCTAGCTCCTAAAACATCCCACCGGCTCTGAAACCTGCCAAGTGTTACATTTCAGAATTCAAGACATTGAGAATACATTGGATCGTTTTCCAATACGTTTTTTTTGCTTTGTCATTGTCTTTCTTCACGAAGTTCCGTTTTGATGGGCATCAGAGCTGGGACAACACCCTACTGTAGCCGCTGTAGCTTTGCCAAGATGCGTTTTTTTCTTGAATCTATAGAAGAGGGGTGCACAATTAGTGCACAATGCCAACAAAAACGTCAGCAAAAGGCACGTAAAGGCACAAACGGATTTGGAGCCGTAGGCTAAAACAGCTAAAACATGATCCATGAATTGCCGGCTGCGGGATGCTGTGGGTTGTTTTTTCTTAGTAATTTATCCAAATCCAGATTCCTCCCAGCCGGCGGCCCACCTGAATGTCCATATTGAAGACCAGTTGTAAGCTGCTGGTCGCTGGTACCTACACCCAAAAAGATTGAGGTTTTCATCATCCCATAGGCGTAACAAAAGGTTGAAGATAAAAGACACAACAACCATCAACAAGCAATAAATTCATATGGCAGTGTGTCAAAACCTTGTACCCCTGGTGAACATCAAAATAGCTGGTAAATGGATGTTCATCCCCCTAAAAATGTATCTATAGGTATTGATCCATACCCATATCATCCCTATTGCTTAACTGCACCACGATGGGATTCGGTGTTTGTGAGTACTTTGTGGAGGAAAAAGGCATCCTCATGAAAATTCAACCAAAGCGCTAGTTAGAAATAGATGGTTATGGTTTTCAGATTCACCCATCATCTTCGCCCTCTAGTTTTATAGATGGTTTTCAGATTCACCCAACATAAAACCCTCATAAAGCTAGCTTCTTGGTGGTTAACAATCCCCAATCATCACAAACGTTGCACAGGGGGGGTCACCTGACCTGGGATGGTCTACTGGTGCTACATGGTGCTACCCAGGCGGCATTACGGATTTTTTTCCAGTTTCACCCTTGGGATTCTTGAGACTATCTGGTTGGTGGTTGGGCCCTACCCCTCTGAAAAATATGATTTAGTCAGTTGGGAAGATTAAATTCCCAATATGATGGGACAAAATACTATGTTCCAAACCACCAACCAGCTATGTTTATCCTGCAAAAACCAGTGCAGTTGATGTCAAGCCCGGATCAAGAAACACTTGGTTTATTAATAGAGGATGATAGAGGGGTACCAATTCTAGTGATGGTGACAACCTTTAAGGGGGATACGGGATACCAATTTGGAGGGGATACACTTTGTCTACTCCTGGTTGATTGATTAATTAGGAGTTTAATTTATCACTATTCAGGGGAACCCCCTAATTAATCAACCAGGAATCCTTTATCCAGAGTTGACCTTCACGTCCATTCGCTTTCAAGGGAACTCATGATCCTGTGCTCGTTAGCTTCCATGGCCATACTGCTTTGCAAAATTTCCCGGCTTGTCTGAAAATGGGGTATCCATCACCATGTTTCCGATGAACAAAAATGCATGTTGTTGGCCCCTTGGGCTTGGTTGTTAACTTAACTGGTGGCCCGGATCGGAGTTCAATCGTGTTTTTTAGCCATGTTGTCCCAACAACACAACAATAATCTACAGCATCTGGAAAGCTACGCAGCTACAAGCATCCAAACTCGGAATGTTGAAAAATGTGTTGCCACATGTTTTTTCCCGGCCCCCGCCCCAGTTTCGGGACCATGGTCTCTCCATCCATGGGTATCGAGTTCAGCAGCATCAAGTCTTTCATGCTTTGGGCCTCAAGGAGGACCCTGTAGTTGAAGAGACGAAATCTGTGGCCTTGACTTCCAACTAGACAAATCGTATATATATATATATATAGTCACTCCTTCACCAGGGCCTACCTTGAGCTTTTTTCGTGGTATTTGCAGCAGAAAAAACATTTATTTTATTGTCCACCTTTTTGTGTGATTTACACACTACCACACAAGTACGGTACAGTTTAACTCTTGTTTTCTTGCAGTTCCTCAATTGCCACCTGGTTATACCGTTACTCCACATCCTAAGACTGCGAGGTTGCCTTCCCTTCAAAGTAAAGTAGTCTTTGTAGATGAATTAGGGCTATGTTGTTCAAGAAAAATACTTCACTTCTTTCATTGGGATGTAGTACTGCCACACAATCACATGGAAACACTAGAATAGTGTCTTCCCAGACTTCAACACAATATATTTCAAGTTGTAAATTAATGTTGCCACACAAAGAAATGATAAATATTCTGCCTGGGAACTACATGACTTGAACTTCTCCACTGCAATCTTGCATTGTCTGTCGAAGCATTCTACTGGATGCATTTTGCTTTCCAAGGTGTGTTTTCTTCTTGGATTTGGCTACATTTTGAAACCTATATCGACCATTGTCATGAATTAATCCATTTTGCACATGAAAGTGTTTTTTGTTTTTCTCTGGATCAGGTTTCCTCTTTGTGAACATCACATCAGAATCACATCACAATATGACCAAATAGCCCTGCTAAATTTCCAAAGGATACAGGAAGAACACTCATAAATTCTCAAAAATATCGCGCCCCTTGAAGTTATATTCTAGTTAATGGTGGAAATACATACAATGTTGAATGAACAAGACTTACTCTTTGAGCGACACAGCGCAGTAGCTGGTCAAAGAAAATGCAGCATGTTGAGCTGAAGGCAAAACTGCAAATAATGCAATTCTTCTTTCAGTTGCTCTCACTTCCCAAAGAGGATTATGTAGTTTATTAAGTTCGCACCTGTGCTACATTTCAAGCAAACAATGCTGCTTTGAAGAAATTATATTTGTAAAAGTGTAGTCTTCATTGCAAATATGCAGCATCCCCTTCAAACGAAAAAAGGTGTTGTCATTTATAAGCTGGTGGTTGCCTTTGAGCTAGCACAGTTTTTTTTCAGGAAGAAATATCCTTATGAAGGTTGGAATCCTTTTGTTGAAAAAGGATTAGTCCTCTACAAAGTGTAATTAGTGTGTTTCAAAGTGCGGCGTTCCTGTTTTCTTCAAAGATTGAATACTTAACCTAAAGCTGCAACCTTGTTGAACAACAGAAACGATATTGTTTCAGAATATGTAGTGTATCCTTTAAAGATGTAGTACTCCTCTCAAAGAAGCTTAGCTGTCCTTTATGTTTGAAGGTAACACCATTTCTTTGAACATATGCAACACTCTTTTCAAAGAAACCAAGCTGCCCTCTATTTGGACAGGAACACCATTTACTTGAAGGAAAGGCTTCACTCACCACAAGAAGAATTGTACATTCCCAAAGGCCTCATGACTAAAAGGACAATTGCACATCCCCAAGGAATACATGCGCATGTTTAGCATACAATACTTTTTTGACTATGGTTTGTGAAGGATGCATTTGATAGACACATGATGCCTTAGAGGCCAAATGAATCAGATTTGGCTTGGATTAATCTTGAACAAACCCAACAAAAATAAGAAAAACAACCACCAAAGAACAAAAAGAAACGTTTTGGGTGACACACTTTGGGATGGGGGGAGGGGAGAAGGCTCTCCAATGCATTGTTTTTTTGTTGTTTTTTGGTGTTTGTTGTTTTTTTTTCAGATAGCAAATAGCAAATGGTTGACCTTGCAATGAAACAGTCAATGAAATAGACACATGGGTAGGTCCTGGTGGGGGGGAAACATATATATATATATAAGTAATATTATCTATTATGTATGTGTGGAACCAACTTGAAAACCCTGATCGAGCGGGATAATTACATCGGGGAAAAAAACACGAAATCGAGGTGAGTGAAACAATAAAAGAGTGGGTCGTGACAATCAACCACGGGACTTGAATAATTAGCCAACAAGACTGGGATCGCATGTTTACCCAACTTTCAATTTGGACATGTTCACCGTTTATGTGGCGAACTAATCTTCAATAGCTGTGTTCACTGCTTCATCTAAAATATATGTTGAATCAACACATGATGTTCACCTACCCTCTGGTAAACGTTTACATAACTATGAAAAATCATGAAAAATCACCATGTTCAATGAGAACATCAACTATAAATGGCCATTTTCAATAGCTATTTTATGCTATTTTGACATAACCAGAGGCTAGTTGACTGGTTCTTTGGGGTGATGGTTTTTCGAAATGTAAAAAAAACATTGGAAACTCCATAACGGACATAACCAAAGGCTACCCCTCCGTCCCGAAATCGTCACCGGCGTCACCGCACCTGCAGCTCTTGCACCTGGAAGACCAGCTGCGCGTCGCCGGAACCGGAACCGGACCCGGCGTTGCCGGCGAGGTCGACGAAGAGCTCCAGCTGGATCTGCAGCCTTCGCTGTAGAGCCATGATGAGCCATGGACACTTTGTATTTTTGGCGAAAAGCCATGGAAAAAGCCATGGGAAATCACCTTTATAGTGCTTTAAGTGTTATAACTGGCTGAATCATCTTATTGAAATAGCTGCAGGAGTTATTTCATCCCATTGAATTATAAGTGTTGAGGCCCATAACTGTACCCGATAATTTGGGGGGAACCATGGACGATGTAGGGAGAAACATTTTGGAAAACCGTGGAAAACCGTGGAAAAAACGTGAAAAAATCCGGCTTTCTTTGAAAATCATATTGTCTTCTTCTTAAAAAAACATGATTTATATAACCCTTATGGATGCTTTTGATAGGATTTTGAAGGGATGAGCCAACCTACTGCCAGGTTAAAAATTTAAAGCTTGACTATGTCATAATGGCTTTGACTGAAAAGAAAACTGTAGGGAAAACCATGGGAAAACCTCAAAATCCAGTGGTTGAAAATGGCCAATTGGAGAGTTTTAGCCCGGCCCGTCAGACAGTCCCACCGAAAACCGTTCTGGATGATGTTTGTTGATGTGTACACATATAGACAGAAGCAATGTATGCGTATAATATATATATATATATATACACATACATTGTCGTGTATATATATATATATGTATAATGTTATGGGTTAAAAAATACCTAATTATGTAAATATATATATATACATGTGTATAGGCACATGTGTGTATATATGTATATGTATACACCTATCTAATCCTATCTATGCATGTGATATATATATATATATACCTGGAACCCCAAGAAACCAAAGATATGCTAGTGATGAACGACAATGAGTTGCTAAGGAACTCATGACCACTATAACGAATGGACGATTTATTTCTGCTCGTTGGGGTTTCACATCTATATCCACCTAGTCTAATCTGATCTAATCTAGTCCAATCTTGTGAAACTTAATAAAGTCATACAGTATCAAGTCTATCAAAGCTACATCTATGTACAGGTTGCTGTGGTTTTCCCAATAGTTGCCCTTGGGGGAAAAATAAAAGGATATCAGGTGTCCATTCCCTGGTCGAAAGAAGTGGAAAATGACTGCTCAGGGATATGGTATACCACTCTGGACCTCAAAAGACTTTATTTTTGAAGTAGCTCATTTAATTTAGGTGCTATTCTCTGCATTATTTAAGCTTTGATCTATTCTCAGTTGTGACAATGAGACCCTTCTGGGAAAAAATGAATTGAGCCGACTCGGGATGAACTTGACTACCTTGATTCCAGGCTGTGATACATGGCGTGGGGGCCCTCTTGCTTCATCAACCAACTTTGTAAAAGGGACATCGCAGGAATGACGGAGTCGGTCACATCTATGGCTTCTTTGGGTTGGTGAAGACTGAGTTGGTGGTTGAGATTGTGACCAGCTTGTGGAAGTCACTGTCGCTAGGAGATTGCCCCAGGATTTCCAAACCACTCTCCCTGAAGCAGCAGTCTATCAGTATAGTATCTGAACCACTGGGCAATTTGAAACCACTGGGTACCCTTTGGTAAACTAACAGTTTGCTATTGAAAATGGTCCATAGAAATAGTTGATTTACCATGATTTACCTATTAATAGCATGGTGATGTTTCATGGTTTTCTGTCAACGTTTACCAGGCCGGGTAGTTCTACATTTTCGCGCATCCTGTTTCCGGGATTTCCAGGTTTCCCATGGCTTCCCGCGAAGCCTAAATGCTTCCAATTCGTGATAGATCCATGGATAAATCAACTGAATCAATACTTAAATTTTCTATCCCATGACGGATCCATGAATATGTGCTGGTAGATTTATATGCTAACATGGGGATTTTGTTGGGATCCATGGCACCCCCATGGCCTGATGGTCCCTGCCCCAATTCGTCGCTTAAATCACGAAATTCGATGGTTTCTGGGGGTGTAAAAAATATATATTTTAATATCAGGAGGAAGGGATTACCAGAGTTTCAGGATCTTAAAAATGAGAGTTTTTGACTGCTAGTCCTGCTGTGAATCTGGATCATTTTCACGCCAGTCATCACGCCGGGTCTGCGTTTTCGACATGGACGTTGACACACGTGCCGCACGTCCACGCTTGAAAATTTTGCGTTCCCAGAATTGATCACAAAACCAAGTCTGGACTCTCTGGACCTGTACACAACAACGAAAATCTCGAAAACAACGAAACTATATCGACGCAAACCATTTGTCCTTTGAGGGCTGCTGAATGTTCTCATCCTCGATAATCTCAACGACCTGCAGCTTGCTAATGGTCAACAGACCCGATAATGCTCATGAGGATGTGTGCAACTGATACGGATGATTTAGAATACACAAAAATATCATAAACAAGAAAAACATAGAACTAAAAACAAACACATAATAATAGTTTTATAATTATGCTGGTTGGTGGTATACCTACCCCTCTGAAAAATATGAGTTCGTCAGTTGGGATGATGATTATTCCCAATCTATGGAAAGTCATAAAATTCCTGTTCCAAACCACCAACCAATATATATATATATAGATAAATATATATATATATTCTCCCATCTTGCTGTGTATGTAGTTCTTTTCTTGGGTCGTTTTCCACCCACCAGGTGCTTCCCAGTGGCTGGTGAAGACCCCATGTTCCATTTTTCTGTCCATAAATAGCTTTCTTTTCGTTGAATCCTTTCCATAGATGTATATGTATACATATCATATATATATATATAATATTTATGTGTGTATATATATATATATATATGATGATATGTGTATATATATAATATTCATATCTATATATATATGCATATATGTCCATCCATTTCCATCCATGTTCCATGCATGTTCCATGCGTTGTCCATGTTCCTACGTTCGATTGGGACCTTGGATGGGCCTTGTTGGACGCCTTTGAGTCAAAGACCGCCGCAATGCTGACGTCCGCCACGAGGTCTCGGCTGATCTCTCCGCCTCCCAACGGGCCAGAGATATAGGTGAAGATACATGGAATATATATATATATATATATGTATATATATATATTGATTCATTTATTTGGTTATTTATCTATTTATCAAATGTATATATATATATACATATACATATCTGCCAAAAAAGGATAGATGTTAGTCAAACGCTACCGTCCAGTAAGCATACACAAAGATATTGAAAATCCGTGGTTTTCCTAGGAAATGATGTACCCATGATAGATTTGCCTCAGCTAGTTTACTGGAGGGTACCAATCTTCAGTGGTAAATTGAGGTTGCTCTATCGATCTTGTTGGACCGATATAGACGTATATATATATATATATGGATAATGGATTTTTTAAAAAAATATCATAGTACCAACCAATATAGATCACATGGCTACATTTACCACCCCCCCTTTTTTCGCCAGTCGTGTTTAACATGATCTGGTGGCAGCATGCCGAGTTCACCCAAAAAATGTGTCCAGGTTAATGTGGTAAACCCAATAACGAACCATCATCCCAATAATGAACGTTAATGTCGTTCATGATAAACCCATGGTTTTCATGTGGTTTAGTAAACCCAATAATGGGTTATCATTAGTTATCATAAACCAATTACTAAACCATCATCCCCATGATACCAATACTTTTTGTAAACCCAATGTGGCAAACCCCATCCCAGTAATCAACCATTCTTGAGGTAATCATAAACATCATCCCACAGAGGTAGATCCAATGTCACGGACCTCGGCGATTGTGACAACTGGTAATTTCTTAGCTATATTGAAGCCATGGCCCATAGAAATCATAGAAATAGTTGATTTAAAAGTGGTGATGTTCCACTGTTTTTTCTATGTTTATCAGAGGCTAACCACATCATAAGCCAGGCTTCACCCCCGTAGCCAAACACACCGACCATCTTCCGGAGCCAAGCGACTGTTCAGTGTGTCCTCTTTAGACACCACTAAGCCTCCAGCAGGAGCACTGGCCTTGAGCCCTCCGGGCCTGCGAGTTGACGTGTCTCCAAGTGGTTTTCTGGACAAACCTTGGAGTTTTCTGGGAAGAATCAATTCCCAATACCATGGTTCTTCACATTTGTTTGATTGGTTGAATATGGTTGAATAATGTTCAACACCTCTTTCTGCTGGTTGTCACCAGCATGTTTAGGAGTTTAGAGACTAACACATGGAAAACAACACATACACATATTATACAAGTGTCCAGCAAAATGGTTGTCCCAACATTTTTTCATAGTTTTGGACGGTGGGGTGACACAAAGCCTGACGATGGTGTAGTCAATGCCAGAAGCTCTCAGGTACTTTTCAGCTTCCAGTTTCCTTAGGCGTCCCAGGCATCCCACCACGAGGATTGACCAATCACAAAAGGAGGGCCTGGAAAAAGATCGCCGAGATGGAACAAGATCATCCCCTATACAATGTGGTGCCCTATAGTTATATAGCTAAGTTGGTTTATAACTTCAATAACTATGGTTTATGGTAGATATATCTATAGTTAATGGGGTTTATAAACCAACTTATCACTGGGGGGGCACAACCTTGTTATAAGAAACCAACAACGTTTCATGGTACGATGCCAAGAGTGTTCTTGCTTATTGCTATGTTCTGACAAGATCACAACATCTGTTTAATGATACAATGCGACACGTCAATACACAAACAACAATGATTATGAGTTCAGTTCTTGTATAACAAACATGTGTTGCAATATGGGTTTAATTATTTCAAACTGGGCTGCCCCAAGACGTGGCCGTGGCCGTAAATTTCATGGCTTGTCATCATATTCTGATGATTGTTCATCATTTTGTGCATCATATTCCCCGACAAAAATGCGGCCATCAATGTTTTTTTTTCGCTGCCAGCCAAGGCTCTCGTCCAGCACCTGGCCGAAAGCATTGGTGACCTGCGGTGCTTGAGCCCATCCCATGGGCTGGTACAGGCCTGCAACCCCCACCCCCCCGTCATGGTCATGGTTCCCCGCCCTCCCTGTGGGAAGGGGAGGGTCCTTCCCCCCCCCCCTGTGGGAATGCGGGTGTATGTGTATGTATGTATGTATGTATCTATCTATGTATGTATGTATCTATCTATCTACCTATCTATCTATGTATGTATGTATCTATCTATCTACCTATCTATCTATTTATCTATCTATCTATCTATGTATCTATCACTATCTATCTACCTATCTATCTATCTATCTATCTATATATATATATATATATATCTATCTATCTATCTATCTATGTATCTATCTATCTATGTATCTATCTAT